ATCTTTGTTGCTGTGGCGGCTCCTCAATGGCCGCCGCCATACGGTGCCATCGGGAATTCTGGCCCTGTAGGAGATGGGTCCTGATACTTCGATGATGGTGGCAGGCACCCATCGAGGATCCCCAGAATAATTGCGAGCCCAAACATTGTCCCCAGGAAGGAAGGAACGGGAGGGAGACCCCAGGTTGCCAGGCTGAATTCCTGAATAGAGGGGATGAAGTCTATCCAGGGTGGTCCGCAGGCACCGGCCCATCAGCAGCTCCGCGGGGCTTTGTCGAGTCAGGGGGCAAGGAGTGGAGTGCTGTGCCATTAGGTAAGCGCCCCCCCTTGCCTGCCAGTCGCCTTGGTTCATGCGGCCCAAAGCCTCCTTGGCCGATCGGACTGCCCTTTCCGCCCGGCCATTGCTGGCCGGATGGTAAGGGGCAACTGGCGCATGGCGGATCCCTTGGGCGGCCAGGAATGTTTGGAAGGCAGTAGATGTAAATTGCAGGCCGTTGTCGGACACAACTGTGTCCGGCAACCCATGGGTAGCAAACAACCATCGCAGGGCCCGCACCGTGCTCACGGCTGTGGTGGAGTGCATTAAGTTCAGTTCCACCCAGCGAGAGTATGCATCTACAGCCACCAAGAATACCTGGCCGTGGAAGGGGCCTGCAAAGTCTATGTGAATGCGGGACCAGGGCCCGCGAGGCATCTCCCACTCCCGGGAGGGGGAGGAGGGTGGAGATGGGCAGGATTCCTGGCATGGGACGCAGCGGGCGACCCAGGCCTCGATCTCGGAGTCGAGGCCGGGCCACCACACGTAGCTGCGGGCCAGCGCCTTCATGCCCGCGACCCCGGGGTGATCGGCATGGAGCCGCTGAAGGACTTGGTTGCGTAGGACCGATGGGATGACCACATGGTCGCCCCAGAGGAGGCAGCCGGAGTGGAGGGAGAGTTCCAGCTGGCGGGACCTCAAGGCCCAGCAGTCAGGGTGGATAGGCTCTGTAGGCCAATCTCTCACGACCCATGCCATGACTTGAGAAAGGACAGGGTCAGCTCGAGAGTTGGAGGCCACGTCCGTGGAGGTTAGGGGCAGGTCCAGCTCGGTGATGGATAGGACCGAGAGGCAGGGGACTGGCTGGGGGTCCTCGCAAGGAAGGGGGCAGCGACTAAGGGCATCGGCATGGCCTAGGTGCTTGCCCAGACAGTAGCATAGGGCGTAGGAGTACGCAGCCAGGAACTCCGTCCAGCGGGTCATCCTAGGGGATAGGATGGGGGGGGTCGGCCTATCACCTGCGAGAAGCCCAAGGAGAGGCTTGTGGTCAGTGTAGAGGGTAACGTGCCGACCATAAAGATAGTCGTGGAACTTTTTAACCCCGGACACCGCAGCCAGAGCCTTCTTGTCTATCTGGCTGTAGTTCCTCTCGGGGAGGAAAGTGTCCAAGAGTAAAAAGCTATGGGGGCTTCTGAGCCATTGGGGAGGATGTGGCTCAGAACCGCCCCCAAACCCACGGGGGAGGCATCACAGGCCAAAGTCAGGGGCAGCTTGTCACTGTATTGTACTAAGACTGCCTCTGAGGTCAGCAGGGATTTGACAGCCGCGAACGCATGCGCTTCGCGGCTGCCCCAGCGCCAGGCCACGGATCGGTCAAGCAACCGATGCAGCGGCTCGGCTAGTGACGCCTTGTGAGGAATAAATGGCGCGTAAAAATTTAAAAGGCCGAGGAACGCTTGGAGTTGCGCCTTTGAGGTTGGGGGGGGTGCGTTCCTTATGGCGGCAATTTTTGAAGCGGTGGGGTGGATTCCCTGGGCGTCAATCAAGAAGCCCAGGAATTCCACTTGGGGCACAGCAAAGGAGCATTTGCTGTGCTTCAATTTTAATCCCACGCCCCTAAAACGGTCGAGGACCTTCCTTAAGACTTTGATGAGGTCTGAGTGGCTGCTTGCAGCAATCAGGACGTCATCAAAGTAGGGAACAACGCCAGGGAGCCCATGGAGCAAGCGCTCCATGAGGCTCTGGAAGATCCCCGGGGCAATGGATACGCCGAATTGGAGGCAGCGACAGCGGAAAGCCCCCTGGTGGGTGATGATGGTCTGGGCCGCCACCGCATCGTCATCCACAGGGAGCTGCTGATAGGCCTGCGCCTTATCCAGTTTGGAGAAAATGCAGCCCTGCCCCAAGGAGTGGAGCAGATGCTGCATGACAGGGACTGGATAGGGGTTTGCCTGGAGGCCAAGGTTGATTGTCGACTTGTAGTCGGCGCAGATCCTGATGGACCCGTCGGCCTTCACGGGGATGACTACGGGGGTCTCCCAGCGTGAATGGTCAACGGGCTCCAGCACTCCCTGCGCCAAGAGCTTATCTAGCTCGGCATCAACCTTTAGCATCAAGGCAAAAGGCACCCTGTGGGCCTTCAGCCTGATGGGGGCAACCTGGGGGTCCAAGTTAAGGGAGATAGGGGTGCCCTTGTATTGGCCAAGCTGCCCATTGAAGATGTCAGCATAGTCCTTAAGGACTGCTGCTACATCAGAGGGTGTGTCCACCACACTGTGCACTCCTGTCAGAGATAACCCTAGAGGAGAGAACAATCAAGGCCCAGGATTGAGGGAAGCGGTTTTAAAACAATGAGGGCTGGGAGAACTGCACACTGGCTCCCATAGGAAACCCGTACCCCATAGCACCACAGAATGGTAATATTCAACCCCTGGTAGTCCCTTAAGATGGCGTCCGGTGGAGAAAGCTGGGACTTGGACACATGGGGGCAAAGTTTTGTGAATGTAGCCCAGGAGAGGAGGGAGCGGGAGGAGCCAGAATCGACCTCCATCAAGCAGGGGGAGCCCTCAATGGTGACTGTAATGGTGATCTTCTGCTTACCCACTGAGGCCAGGTTGATGGACACCGCAGGGGTATAGCAGTCTTCACGGCGTGGCTGCTGACGTCTGGCCGGTTGATTCTTTGGAGGAGGAGGACGACCGTAGACTGGAGGTTGTTCGGCTGGTGAGAGAGGAGGCAGGGCGGCCCGGCAAACCTGCGTCAAGTGACCCTTCTTGCCGCATCGGTGGCAGACGGCGGTCTCGAAAGGACAGGTAGAGCGGGTATGAGAGCCACCGCAGCCTATGCAAGCAGGAGAGGCTGCAGGAGTGCGGATCAGCGCCGGCTGCTGTTGTTGAGGCCGGTGAGGGGTGGCCCGTAGGCGATCCACCTGGTCAGTGTAGAAATTTTCCGGCAAGGGTGGCAGCTCATCAATTAAGTTAGTAATGTATGTAGATGGCTGTGGTGGTGCGGGGTCAGGCCCCGGCAAGGCTGGTAAGGCAGGCAAGGCTGGCACAATAGAAAAAGCGGCGGCATGAGGTAAATAACGGTCGATCTCTACTGAGGAGAGGTCGGCAAGTTCGGCGGCCCTGGCTTCGTCAATGGCGTAGACTAGGGTGACTTTAGGTTTTCCAAGGAGTCGGCGCCTCAGGAATATATCCTTGAGGCCGCACACAAATTGCTCCGCTAAGTTGTCTTCCAAGTCAGGGAAGTCACATTGCGCTGCAGCGACTCGCAGAGCCTGCAAGAATTGATTGACTGATTCGGACGGCTTCTGCACTCGCCTGCGGTAGGCGAAACGGCGGGCGATCTGAGATGGGGTTGGGGCATAGTAGGCTTGGAGCCCTTCAGTTAGTTCTTCCCAAGTCAGATCATATACAGCTCTAGGGGCAGCGAATGAGCGGGCCATTGCGAACATCTCAGGACCGCAGGCGGTTAAGAAAAATCCACACTTTCTGGCCTGAGAGTAGCCTTGCCGGTTGTTGGCGATGAGAAAGCATTCAAATCTTTCTAAGAATGCGGCCCAGGACTCCGAATGGAGCGAAGGCTGGCATGCCGGCCATAACAGCTGAGGTGGCGAGGCGGCTGAGGCGATTTGAGGCACGGTTTTCTTGTCCGGTCTACGGGCCTAACACGATCGTTGCTTGCCCTCTAGGTCGTGCTCAGAGCCGGTGATCCCACTGCTCGTCGCCAGTGTTAGATCGGCGGCAATAAATACGAAGAGGCGTCTGAGGTAACCTTCAAGAACCGTTTATTACAGGCAAGAACAGAAACTGTAAGTAGACCGGCACCTCTCCTCTGTCTGACAGCCTTTTATACTGAGCTGTCAGACGGACGAGCCAATAGCCTCACGTATGACAGCCCGGCAACTTGCAGGCGCGTCTGATTGGCTAAGACGCGCCGCTATAACAATGAGGCCTTGCTTGAAATACTCAGCAGATCAGACCAATGCTTAAAAAGTGCTCTGAAATGTCAAAGGAGAGCTGATGGCATGACAGCACGACATGCAATCTTGGTGCTCCGAGATCACAGTTGAATTTCTGCTGCTGGATGGTCCATTTGGACCTAAACCGTCCCGCAGAGACAGTGATTGAGAAGGACACTTCCTGCTGATCTCAGGGACACCACAAAGTCCCTCAAAGATCCAGGAATAGCCTTTTTTTCCGGTGACAGAAACACAGCTAATGAAGCTGCTGAAGTTGGGACAGCTCCAGAACAGGAAGAAAGCGGAAAGAGAAAGTGTGTTGAATTGGTAAGGAAATTTTATTATTAGAGGAAGAGACTACCCAAGAAAAAAAATTAAGTTAAGTTAAAATTGAAGACAGAAGACTGTAGGTGGCGAGACTGATCTGCACTGAAATTAGTGTGTTATCCAGTTTCTATTTTTTTTCACGGATGGAAGTTTTGCAGGGGCTCCCTATTTTTTAAACTAATGGATTAATTATTTCTTCTTTTTTCACTTAACTTAATTTTTTTCTTGGGTAGTCTCTTCCCCTAATAATAAAATTTCTTCACCAATTCGACACACTTTCTCTTTCCGCTTTTTTCCCGTTCTGGAGCTGTGCCAACTTCAGCAGCTTCATTAGCTGTGTTTCTGTCACCGGAAAAAAGGGCTATTCCTGGATCTTTCAGGGACTTTGTGGTGACCCTGAGAGCAGCAGGAGGTGCCCTTCTCAATCACCAGCTCTGTGGGACGGTTTAGGTCCAAATGGACCGTCCAGCGGCAGAAATTCGACTGCGGTCTCGGAGCACCAAGATCACATGTCGTGCTGTCGCGACATCAGCTCTCCTCTCTCTTGCTACAATTGTTAAGTGAATCACTGCAGTTGTTAAGTTAGTAACATGGTTGTTAAGTGAATCA